CCTCCTCCTCCTCCTCCTCCTCCTCCTCCTCCTCCTCTACCTCCTCCTCCTCGCGGCTGCCCTCGCCGCCCTCGCCGCCGCCACCGCCGCGGCGCCGTCCCCGTCGGCGGGCAGAGGCCAACGGCCCGCCGGCGGCTGAGCACGCCTGTGGCCGCGGCTGCCCCCGAGAGCAGCGCCAGCAGCGCGGCGGCCGCCGCCATGGGTCGGCGGCGAGCGGGGGGAAGTGACCCAGACTCACTCGCGCTGTGACCAAAAGTCACGACGGACAACTTGTCCTTCTTTTCGGCCTCCAGGGGCCCTGAACTACCGGGCCCCGGGAGCGTCAAGAAACGACTCAGGATGAAAGCCGGTCCCAGGGAAGGGGTCCAGTCCTGTGGGGGTCGATGGTGTGCAAAAAATCACGACGAAGGGGTCTGGGAAGAGAGAAGGAGAAGGCCTCCTCAGAAGGCGGCTGGACTTCTCAGAAACCCTCGCGCCTTCTGAGAGGCTCTCTGTCTTCGGGGAAGGCTTAGAAAACTTGTCAGAAAGCCGCGGGACTTCCGAGCCTTCTGAGCCGGCTTTCTCCTTCTCACTTCCCCCCAAACTCGCCGCCGAATGGGGGGTGGGCCCCTCCTGCTGCGTTGAGGCGCGGGGATGCTGCCACGACGATAGTGACGCCGACGGCAACGACGGCCGCGGCGACAACGGCCGCGGTGACGTCGACGACGACGACGACGACGACGACGACGACGACGACGACGACGACGACGGCGGCGACGACGACGACGACGACGACGGCGGCGACGACGACGACGACGGCGGCGGCGACGACGACGACGCCGCTGACCGGCGGAGAGCGCCGCCCCCGCGGGCGCGCGGATGCGCGGTGGCCCCTGGGCGGCGGCGCTCTTCGGAGGGCCTCTGCGGAGGCCCCCCCCGTCGGAGGGCCCCGGCGGCACGCGGGAGGTGGCCCCGGGCAGGAGTCTGACTACCTACCAGGCCACCCCAACCCAACCCGAAGACCCGAATTTCGGGTTGGGGGGGGTACGGGTTCCATATGTGTTTTCTCGATGTTTCCCGACCCCCCCCCTACTAGAAATCGAGGGTAAATCTGAGCCTTCGGGTTGGGTTGGGGTGGTTTGGTGGGTGGTGACAATCGATCAAGCAAGAAGCCGCGTGTCCAAAAGGCACGTGAGCAGTACTCTTATTCAGCCACGTCCGCAGCCTCGAGGTGAGGCAAGGCGGGCCGAGAACGAGGAGCGAGACAGAAGGGAGAGAGGAGGCGGAGGGAGGGGACGAGGAGCGGAGAGATCCAGCACACTGAAAAAATCAAGGAGGATTTTGTTTCGCCGTTCTCGGCCTCTAGAGGCCCTCGCTGGGCCTCGGGAACGTCAAAGAACGACTCCGGATGAAAAGCTGGTCCTGGGGAACGGGTCGAGACTTCCGGGACCCCGTATTGAAAAAAACACGACATCGGATCTCTGGGGAGGCAACTACTCGGAAATCTTCGTCTGAAGGATGAAGGAGAATTAGGCTGGGGTGTTGCTATAGAAGTGCCCCTGGGGCTTCAAAATGGAGCGCAAAGCTGGGGATACCTCGGGCCAAGGGCAAATTCAGCAACCCCCGATAAGCCCCATTCAGGGGCTGCTACGCCGGATTAGGCTGCGGATCAAGCGGGATTAAGCCAGGTTAAACGGGAATCAGCCGGATTCAGCGATATTAAGACGGATGGAACCGGTTTTTGGACCAGGGCAACGTCACCCAGGAGTTGCATCCGAGCAGGAGTGGCTCCTGGTGCGCCTCCTCGCAAACGTCATCGCTCCTTCTGTCCTCCCCCGCTTCCTCTCGGGGGTTGCTAAGCGTAAGACGAAGCCAGGAGGAGGACGCAATCGGGCGAGGATGGCTCGGCAATCTATTAGATCCAGCGGCTCTGCAGGATGTCCTGGGCACAGCGTTCTGGAACGCTCTGAGAGTGTTCGGGAACGCTCTGGACGGGATTTATCTTTTGTGGATGCCATGACAATGGACACCCTAAAAATCCGATCATTGAAATAAACATGTGCTTAAAGTGTTTGAAACAGGTTCGAAAAATATTTAAAAACATAGATTCACATGTTTAAAACATGGTTGAAACTTGTTTAAACATCTGGAACTTATTTGGCAACGTGTTTCCTCTCCATTGGTCGTCCTCCACAACTCTTCCTTGTCCACCCTCTGAGGGACCGGCCGCAGGAACGCATGGCCAGAACAGGGTGAAAATGCGCGGCCTGCTCTGGACTGGCGTGGACGTCCAGTGGCGACACGCCGCGCCATTCTGCTTTCTGCTACGCGCGCTTCATGAACACCCCCCCCTTTAGGCTCTTTGCCATGTCTTCGCGACCAAAAGACCCGCATGTTTTTAGCCCTGCCCCCCCCCCCACTGCAGCTGTGTCCTCTTCCTGGTATTGTTGCTGCCTATCCTCCTCCTTCTCCTCCTCCTCCCCTTCCACCTCCCCCTCCTCCTCCATTCCATTTCCTTATAAATAATTTGTCCCTGTCGCACACCGAGGCCAGTTTTTAAGGCGGGAAAGGCGTTTCGCCTGAGACTGCCGCAACATCTATGATTCTGACGCTTAAAAACTGGCAACACTTTCACAGATGGAGGGCGGGTGGTTTTCAAAATGTTGCTCTCGCCTTAGCGTCGCGCACATTCGTTCTAAAACTTTGCAAGGGTTTCCCGGATTGAGGGCGGGTAGTTTTCAAAATGTGGCTCTCGCCTTAGCGCCGCGCGCATTCGATTTAATGCTTTGCAAGAGCTTCACGGATTGAGGGCGAGTGGTGCGGCGCACATTCGTTAAAAAATGAAAGAGTTTCACTGATTGAGGGCGGTTCCTTTTCAAAATGTGGCTCTCGCCTTCGCGCGGCGCACATTCGTTTTAATAAATTTCAGCAGTTTCACGGGTTCCCATCATCAACGTACCAGAACTTGTGTTTTGGAAGGGTTCCGGATTATGCTGGTGCAACAATTACATTGGTTCTCTGTGTTGAAATCCTGGGAATGGCGTTCTGGCACGATTCAAGATCCTCAAGACGCAACAATCAGGTTGATCCGTGGCGTTGCAATCCCAAGAACAACGTTTTGGCATGCTTCCGGGTCTTTAGATGAGTGTCTTCCAACGAGGCAGCTCCATCAATGGAGATGAACCTTTGTAGGGGCCTGTGACAGCCTGTGACGAGAGGGAGCTTGGAGGGAGGTTTACTCCAACATCGTTGATGACTCTTGGGTTTAAACTGGTCCTCCTCCTCCTCCGCCTCCGCCTCCGCCTCCTCCTCCTCCTCCTCCTCCTCCTTGAGGAGCTCGGAGGCGAAAGGAAGACCGTGGGATAGAGAAGGGAGTGTGATGCGGAGGAGGAGGAGGAGGAGAGGAGGAGGAGGAGGAGGAGGAGGAGGGGGGGGAGGAGGAGGAAGAGGAAGAGGAGGAGGAGGAGGAGGAGGAGGAGGAGGAGGAGGAGGAGGACGATAGTGAGGAGGAGAAAATGAAAAGGGCGGATGGAGAAAGGGCAGGGAGGACTGTGAGGAGATGGGCGAGCAGGAGAAACGGGGGGGGAAACGAGTGGGCTCGACGCCCTCCCCCCGCGTCCCTCAACCCCCTCCCGCACCCAGAGCCCAGAGATCCGACGACATATTTTTGTTCAGCGCGCGGCCCCATATATCCCCGAATGGCATAGCGACACTGGCGGTGGCTCACGCGGGCCGCCAGCGCAGCAACCTGCCCTGGAAGCGAGGGCGCCTATGATGCGCGCGACCTTGCGCGGGCATCTCACGCGCCAAAGTCGGTGCGCACGAGGAGAAGGAGGAGGAGGAGGAGGACGAGGAGGAGGAGGAGTAGGAGGAGGAGGAGGAGGATGAGGAGGAGGAGGAGGAGGAGGAGGAGGGGAAGGAGGAAGAGGAAGGAGGAGGAGGAGGAGGCGGAGGAGGAGGAGGAAGAGGAAGGAGGAGGAGGAGGAGGAGGAAGAGGAGGGGGAGGGAGGAGGAGGAGGAGGAGGAGGCGGAGGAGGAGGAGGAGGAGGAGGCGGAGGAAGAGGAGGGGG